GAGTTGACATTGTTTGTCCTAGGCAATGCTTTTGAAGCATGGCAAGTTAATGTTATGAAGCTCCCTGTAGAGGAGTTGGTGTAACCATGATATATGTAGACCAAAATTCTGTTTTTACCCTTGTTGCAGGAAGACCGTCCATGAGTTGCATCTGCGCTTGACATATCAGCCACGCAGCCGTCAGCTGTCACCCAATGTATGCTGAAGCCGGCGTCACAGCACACAGCATGAGAAATGGCCCCTTTTTCTCATGATCGTAGGAATGAATCTGGTAAGTTTTGGCTTTTTATGTAATGTTAACAAAAAAATATCAGTATATTATGGTAGAGTCATGATGGGTAAAAGTTTATTTTGGTATCTGTTTCTATTAGGGGGTTACTTGTTATATCTTTACTGACTCTATGCTACCTCCATATATACCGCTTATTACTTGGTCGTGTGTTGATTTTAGTGGAGGGAAGTGGAAAAGGCAAATCATCAGTATGTCACAGTAATGGTGCTATTTATTTCATTTGTATGGTACAGTCGTAGTAAAGTAGGAAGTGATGCTGGTTCTTGTCCATAGGGATATGCCTGGACTTGATGCTGGCCACCTGTAACATAGAATTTCATTCGATGAGCTGGCATCACAGTGATACATATGGACCAGAAAACGTTTGAGTTGAACTCTGAGATGATAATTTGAATTTAACTTATAGAATTTTTTCATTCTTTTACAGGTATCCAGATTAGCCCCAAGTCACCAGCAGAAACAAGCCGGCTACTTGAGGAAGACTTACTCTTATAATGTAAATGATTTGAAACAATAAAGAATAGAAAATCACTACATCTGACATTTTACTTGATTTCCTACACCTAGTTAGCTAGAAGCTGTAGTAACTGTGGATGTAGTAGCAGACAGCCACAACTACCGCAGTGACGTCACAGACGTCTCTGATGCAGCGGCCGCAGTGGCAGCAGTAGGATTACCACTACTACTACCCCCACAGCCCCCGCAGCAGCGGCGGCAGCCCACTACTACCTCCACAGCAGCCGCAGCCGAGAGGAGGGCAGGGGGAGGGGAGGTTTTTTGGACGGCTCAGGGCGACACGTCCAGCCCCCTCATTGACGCAGTGAGGTCACGCGTTGCACGTATTGTCCCCATGCAAGGGGTCCGCTGACTCCACAGCGTTGAGCGGAACGGCTCCGCTAGACCCTTCCACAATGTGGGTGGTGAATTAACAGGGAGGTAAAAAAAAAAACTGGACCAACGGTTATCACTGTGACCCCAACTCAACTTATATCTGATGATTCCATGCGCTGCACGTCTGATGTCCAGGACAGAAACACCTCCAGGCCGATCTTCCTGCAACAAACCAAAGAGGCAGTTTTAGTCGAAGAAACGGGATGTAAGAGGGCCAGGAAGCACGCAATTTCGACAGAGAAGGTCAAAGGCGACTCTCCTAGACAAATTCCAATCATTTCCAGCGATTTTTATTTCTTTCATTTTTGGCAAAATATACAAAGGCTATAGCCTTTGTGTTTTTAGCGAAAATTGATGG